AAAAATAAAATAAATTACTAAACAAATCCACCCCAAACAGCTATGTTTGGTATTGACTTAAAAGTCGAAAAAAAAAAAAAAAAGTTGTAAATTACGATTTTTTTGCATAATACTCGCATATCACTAGAAGACTCTGTTTGGAAATGACCATATAAGTTACATTTTTTTAAATCTTTTTGCTTTTAGTAAAATTTATTTAAACTCTGTCAATTTTTTTAATTTTTAGATCCATTTAGGCTAAAAAGATCTAAAAAGTAATTTTTTTTTTTTATAAATAAATCAAGAAAAATTTTCAGTTGGTCTAATCAAATGGAGCCTAAAAGTAATTTTTTTTTTTAATTTTTGAAAAAAAAAATTAACTCAAGATAAAAAAAAATCAAAAAAAAAAAAAACTGTTTAAAAAAATTGTCAAATCCAACCTGAACGTTTGACTCTCCCCTCTCCTCGGCCTCTAATGTATTTAAAAAAAAAAAAATACAACCTTTTGCAAGCTATTTGACTTTTCATTTTTAATTAATTTTTTTAATTTGTAAAATTTACTCACATACATTCGCCATTAAGACGGTACAAGATCAATTCTTATTAATTATTTCTTCTATACTAGCAACCGTGGCACAAGTGATTTATGTGCAACACATATGACAAATTAATGACTAACATTGAACTTATTATTTTTAAATTTAAATTGTAATGCAATTTATCTTCAATTAGTTGCCGGCGCATATATGAAGAAGTATGGATTTTACAATTTTTAAAGTCATTTTGAACTTTTTTTTTTTTTAATAAATTTGGCAAAAATAAACAACTTTCATTAATTGGTAAAAGAAATTAACACAATTTCAAAATACATGCCAAACAAAGAAATCCACTACTAGCCAAAGAACAAAAAGAATCAAACAAACAACTAGGATTGGGCACTATTGATTGTGTAAATACTGTCTAATTCGTTAAAATTGTACCAATCAGTACCAATTTATCTGCTAATCGTGGATTAAATTTTAAAATTTATATTCCGCATTCGAAACCAATCCACTTCTCTATATAGTATATTTTTTTAACCTCTAATGAAATAATATTAAAGTAAAAATGAGTGCAAGGAATTTAAGATGTGAAATTTGTTACAAATTAATAGTTATATATATGAAAAATATTATATAAAATTAGTTTGTGTTATATATATATATATAATTACTTTGTAGTTTATGTAAATTAATGTTATATATTATGTAAATGGTTAATAATTGTTTAAGAATATTCTTCAATTAACTAGCAAATTGAGACTATCCCAAACCGCTGATTTGATTATTTGCCAATCCATTATTCACATTTTTGTTTATAATTTTACTCTTAAACCGTGTTAACCGCACCACATACACCCTACAAAGAACACATAAGAAAGGCTGAATCCAACAATAACTATCGGAAAATGATGATTTTGTGATGATTTTAATGCAAAATTAAAGTGGGTCCCAACCACCAGTTGATGTGGGTTCAAATGGGTCTAGATTCTTTACAATAAAATCTTTACACTACAAAAAGAATGAAAAAAACATTAAGATTTGAATGAGAAATTGTCTTATAAAGTTAGCCTCATGAATGAGGTATTGGGGAAGGTGTGTAACGTATCCCACATTGATTATAGAGGGAAGCTTTAATGGGTATTTAAATCTCTAGGATTTTTTATAAGGGTGTGAGCCCTTTGAGGCATCCAAATTTTTTGAAGAAAAATTTGAATGTAGAGTTTTGAAAGTAGTGTGGAGTGTCGAGTTATGTGTTTGGTTATGAGGTTTGAAAATAATTTTTGAATTGAGTTTTGAGTTATGTGTTTGGTTACGATTTGAGTGTGAAATTGTGTTTTGAGTTTAAAATATTAAAATTAAAATATTAAAATATTTACAAAATAAAATAAAATATTTAAATAAAAATTATATATTTAAAGTAAAAAATATATATTTTTAAATATTTTCTGGTATGTGAGTTAATGAAAAATGGATCCCTCGATAATTTCCTCTCTACAACAGAACAACAGTCTGGTCAATTCTTGAATTGGGCACTTGAGGGCATTATAGGCATTTTAGTGCTTACATTTTGATGACATCAGCAGGGTCAGTTAGGTGTATAAACAACGATCAAATTTTGGGAGAATCTTGACATTGTCAGGTAAAGTAGGGGAGGTTACTGTAATTATTCAAACTACAGGGGAGGTCCCTGCATTTGTCAGAAACCTCAGGGGAGGTAAATGTAATTTACCCTTTTTTAAAAATTTTTTTTATCAAGTGCACTTATTTGTTTTAGTTTTTTTTAATATAAAAATAATTTTTTTATTTATTTTATATAAAAATAATTTAACAATCCCATCACTAACCATCTCTCATACTATCAGTAAAACAACCACACTTTTACTTAATCTCCTTACTAATAATTCTCACATTAACAATCTCTTCACTAACTATTCTCTCACTAACAATCTTATCCAACTTAATTCGCCAAACAAACGTGGCCTCAAAGTAATCATTCTTCAACTTCTAGATAATTAACTTCTTTAAGTTTTTTCAATCTCATAAATTCTAAGTACAAATTGTGCCAAATAAATTAGCGACAATGCTACGTAACTCAAATTTTGTTGCTCAACTCTATAATTTGCAGCAAACAAAACCAAAGCGCATTGGATTAAAATGAAAGACTGCAAAATGAAATTTACCTTTATTCTTTGGTACCAATTATTTATTTATTTATTTATTTTTTTTTCAAAGAGAGAAAAAGTCATATGTCCAATTGATTGGCAGTGCAATTGAGTCATTTAGCTGCAAAAAGGCAGTTTTACGTAATTGAAAATTTTCATGCCTGATACATTACATAAAGCACTGCCCATGCATGACATGTAATATTCAAACTGATATGTAAACATATACGCATATATATCTGTAATGATCTGATGATATGTTCCCATGTAAGGTATGACGAGACCTATGTTATTAGAAAACATTAATATCTTAATGAATTGCGTATTGATATGCACGTTTTAAAATATGATACACTTTCGTTTTAAAATGATAAATTTAATGATCTGAAACGATCTTTAAATTTTTTTCTATTATATTTCCTTAAATGTTAACTTGGGAGAAAAAAATCACCTATATGAACTAAAATTTAAGGTGAATTTTCTTTTGACAAGACAAAAAATCAAAAATGGGTTATAATTTTCATAGAAATGATTTGCTACATGAAAGAAGAAAAAATTGTATTGGATACTTAACTGTTAAAAGAAAATTATTTTAAAATAATTTAAATTTTTAAGTATAATATATATAAGTCTCCTCCTATCATATTATATTTTACACCATATGACGTATTACATTTCTATTTCCATTCCTATTCGGTGTACTGAAACAATTCAAATTCTAAATAACATAGGATGAGACCCCTCATCTTCCAATTAAAAACTACAAGTTTGTCGTTGGGTCAAATTCCAACAAAAGGAGAAATAGACTTGTGGATTATTAGTCTGGTGGGGTGTAAAAATGGCCCATGAGCCATTCAAAGTCCGCTTGCGGTCTGAGCCCGGCTCGATTGAGGCTGGGGCCAGGCCCGAGCTCAAGCCCAGCCCGGGAACTTATGTTTGGGCCTAGGCCATGTGTTTTGGAGCCCAACCCAACTTGTGAGGGCTGCTCAAGGCCCACTCAAAACCTGACCTGTCCTGAGGCCCAGTGTTATTTTTGGTGAAAAAAAATAAAATTTTGATTAAAAAAATAGAGAGAAAAAATAAAAATGTTCAGCCTCGGGCCAAGCCCGAGCCTAGGCCTAGTATGCCGGCCCGTCTCTTGAGCTTGAATCTAATTTTCTGGCCTGTGAGTTGGCCCAGCCCGACTTGAATTTTGACGAAAGCTTGTGCGGCCCAATAAGGCCGACCCGGGCCAAATTTACATCCCTCGGCCTACTACATATTTCATTTTTATAATTCTAGATTATTAATGAAAAACATATCTAATAATCAGAACTATGTAATTTATCATTAAATAAATGTATGAACAATATATTTTTGAAATAAATTATGAAAGAATTATAAAAAAATCATGTAATTACAATTATAGAATCACATTGGTTTTTATGATTTTATATGAATGAGAAGATGAACATATCCGATTTGTTAAATTGGGCCACATGCTGGCTTTCTAACTATTGTTAGGCTAGTGGTTTATTTCATACGATATTTATCGTATTTGTAATTATTTTTGTATCGATTGACAAAAAAAATGAACATATTTGATTGTTAAATTGGGCCACATGGTGGTATTTAAAAAAAATTAAAAATAAATTAGTGATAAACTTTATAAATATTAATAATTTAAATATTAGATTTTTTCACAAATAATTTTGAAAGTTTCACTTAATTGTAAATTTCCCAAACATATACCTTCATTAAATTCTCAAAAAAAAAAAACAAAAAAAAAACAACTTTTATGAATTTATCCCTTGTTTTTATGATGATTTTTTTTAAAAAAACTTTTAGACATGTTTTGTATTTGTAAAATGATCCTTTTTTTTTCCTTTTTTTTTTTGTAGCTATAAAATAATCATTCGGTATTACTAATGATGCATAGAAATTTGTCAAACTGATGAATGATTGAGATATTTTGTATTTTATTTGTTAGTTTTGATATATTTTAAATTTATTTGTGTCAGTTTGTATTGAAATATGACATGAGAAGTGTATAATTGAATTATATTTTTTAAAAATATTTGTATTAATAAATTGGGACATTACAAATTGAAAATCTAAAGCAAAGGCTTTGTTGCCTTATGCTAGGGAGCACCCTAATATGACCGTTAAAACATTACATTAAATAAACTTATTAGATAGGTTACAAACCTATAGAATATTGAAATTGAAAACTGAAAAATCTAAAATAGTTAGAATTAGCTATATGGATACTCCTTCATTTCATTACTCCAAAATGAAATTAGATTTACCACTAAAAAGCTCAAAAAAAATTATCATAATGATCCAAATAACCTCGGTTATTCTCATCCTAATTGCTCTCTATCTCCATAAGAATTTGCTTTTTGAGGTTAATTCAACAAATTTTGGATTGTTAGAGCAGGGATGTGATATGTTTAATGGAACTTGGGTTCCATATTCTAATGGACCTTATTACACAAACGAAACTGAGTGTCTGATCGATGATCGACAAAACTGTATGAAGTTTGGAAGACTGGACACCGAGTTCTTGAAATGGAGGTGGAAGCCAGATGACTGTGAGCTACCCGTGTTTGATGGAGCTGAGTTCTTGGAGACTGTCAGAGGGAAGTCTATGGCATTTATTGGGGACTCACTTAGCAGAAATCAAATCCAATCACTTGTGTGCCTTTTAGCTTCTGTAAGTTATGCATTATATGGTTGGCACGACAAGTTAACACGATTCAAATCAAACACGAGTAGTGATTAGAGATAATATATATATATATATATAAAGAAGTCGGATTGGTGTTAGATCTGTGTAACTTGAATTTGACCCGGATAACTAACTCAAAAAGGATTAGTTACACATTTTAAGTAATGAAGTATGATAACATATTTGAATAGTTTATGTAACTTTATCTAGTTGAATAAAAGAAACATGCAAAATAAATTTTGGAATCAATATAATTTTTTTGTTTCCATGTGAGATAGTGAGGATCTTTTAGTTTATTATTTCGGAGTGAATCTAATAAATGAAGAAATAAGTAAAAACAAATAGAGTTTAGTTCTTTGAAATTTGGAAAATAAAATTGAGCAGAAATTGAACATTTTTATCAATACCTTCATTTAGTAGAGATTAATTTCATAAAATTTCTGACTTGTGAAAAAAAAAAACAAAAACTTTGATGTATCCATACATTTGATATTTTTAACGGAGGTTGAAAATTTTTGATATGATACATTATCACAACATGAAATTAAAATGAAACAAGATAACACAACAAAATAAACAGATAGACTATCATGATGGGCACGATTTCTAGCCACGATTCATGCACAGTAATAGATTGTCTTCGATTCGGATTGTAATTGCTATGTACTTTTCAGGTGGCTCGTCCTGTGAATGTATCAAATGTACAAGACATAAGGTACAAACAGTGGCTCTACTTGGAATACAATTTCACACTATCAATCCTATGGACCACTCACTTGGTTAGAGCCTCAGATTTCGACCCAACTGGTCACTCCCACAAGTCCCCCATGAATCTCCACTTAGACCAGGTTGACTTAGCCTGGGCTTCTCACATTCAAGATTATGATTATCTCATAATCTCAGTTGGACAATGGTTTTCGATTCCACTAATCTACTATCACAATAACCAAGTCATTGGGTGTCACAAATGCAATATCAAAAACGTCACAAAAATGTCTCAATACTATGGATTTAGGATGGCTCATCAAACGGCCTTCAAAACTCTTCTGAATCGCCCAAAGGGAACAATGGGGATAGTTTTTCTGAGGACGATCTCTCCGGCCCACTTTGAGAATGGGGAGTGGAATACTGGAGGGTATTGCGTGAGGACGAGGCCGTTTAGAAGGAGAGAAAAGAAGGTGGAGGGGTATATTAGGGAATTTTATGAGGCTCAAATAGGGGAGTTTTGGGAGGCAAAGAGGGAAGGTAGAGAAAGGGGTTTGAAATTTAGGTTGTTGGATACTACAGAGGCGATGGCGATGAGGCCAGATGGCCACCCAAACTATAACGGGCAATCGCCACGTGGGAATGTGTCAGTGGCTGATTGTGTGCACTGGTGCTTGCCGGGTCCGATCGACACGTGGAATGAGTTGTTGCTACAAATGTTAAAGAGGGAAAGTGCTGAATCAAGCGTTTCAAAGCTTCTGTAAAATGTTTCATACAAATGAGACAGATATGGAATAACTATAACAAGATTCCAAATCTTTTTTTTTTTTTTCTATTTTTTTGTTTTTGTTTTTGTTTTTTGATGTACAAAATTGTAACTACAAATTTGCAATCATATTTATTTAAATATGTTAGATTTTTTAGTCTTCAATTCTTCTTTATTCTGAATTTAGGTGGCATTGTTGCTGCTGCAGAGCTCAAAACAGAGGATTAAAAACAGAGGAGTTTTCAAACTAAAGACTATTTTTCTTTTTTCTTTTTTTAATTCAAATGTCACATTGCAACACTTTGTTTATTTTATTTATTTATTTTAATAGATATACAAAACAGCTTCTAGATTCTCAAGAAGAAATCTATAGAACCAAATTTCTTGAAAATTCAAACATTCATATGTTTTAAATTTTAATGTTATAGAAATATACTCACAATTCCTTGAAATACTGACATGGCTAAATTACTCCAAACGTTTCTTAAGATTTGAAAAAAAATATAATAAGTTGTATATTTGGCATAATTACACTGACTACCTTTTTACTAAGGTCAAAAGTAACGGAACTAATATAAATGGTGATTAAGAAAATAAAATATACATTTCAGTGTAAAAGATATGATAATATTATTTTTTTATTTATTTGATTAACGAATTACTGATGAAAAAGAAATTAAGTATTATGTAAATTAAAATCTTAAAAATACAATACTTCAGTATTCAACAATAAAAATTGAAAATTATTAAATTTTGAGAACTTAATTTTTAGTTTTATACCATGAGCAAAAAATAATATACAACCAATTTGTTAGAATTCTTACATTTATTAGGAGGTAGTTCGATAGATTAAAAATTCCAAAATTTTAAGCCCACTTTATTTGAAAACACATTCAACAATTTTCATGATAAAAAAAAAAAAAAAAAAAAAAAAAAATTATTTTAAAGATGAGTAAAATATTTACCCTCATTAATTTTCAGGTGAACCCCTATAGTAAGAAATCAATTCTGAAATTAATTTGGAACTGATTCTTAACAAAATTAAATCTAATTAACATGACTGTTAGAACATTCAATTAAATATACCTATTATGTTACAAACCTATTAAATAATGTAACTAACCATAGTATAATCTTAAAACAAATTAGATTTAACTATGGTAATCACTTACACAACCCTAGTAGTATATGTTCCATATCATCACATCAAAAATTAATCTTTGGCTAGCTAGTAGACCAAAAATTATGCTCCATTTTTTTCCCTTAGTTCTTATTAACTCCTTGTGATCTTCACTTTTGAGTTAATAAAATTCTTTTTTTGCCAATTAAAAAAAAACAACCACCTGTAAATGCAAAGTTTCTTCTTTCAAACATTCCTCAAATGAAGTTCAATCTCTTGCAGCTTCCCAGTTGGAAGAACTCACGAAACAGCTCAAAAAATGCAAAACTATTCATATTAATCTTCGTTCTTCTCACCATAATCTCTATTTGTCCACACAAGAATTCACATTTTTTGCGAATTTCTCAAGAGATCGATACCAATATTGTCAAACAACTTTATCCCGAGATTAATGCTAATGACACGATGAGAATAAAAAAGATAAGTAAAAAATGTGACATGTTTAAGGGAGATTGGGTTCCATATCCGGAGGGGCCTTATTACACGAATGAGACTAAATGTTTGATGGATAATCGACAGAATTGCATGAAATTTGGAAGACCGGACACTGAGTTCATGAAGTGGAGGTGGAAACCGGACGAATGCGAGTTGCCTCTGTTTGACTCGGCTCGGTTTTTAGAGCTTGTTAGGGGGAAGGCTATGGCGTTTATTGGGGACTCGGTTGCAAGAAACCACCTGCAGTCACTGGTTTGCCTATTGACTAGTGTAAGTGCTCTCAACTAACTTATAATTATCATTAGGGAAAATTACACGTCTCCCTAATTTGTCTCCAGTATTAATGGAAAATGGCCTGCACCCCACTGGGGGTGACCCCCAGGGCCCCATTGGGCTCTGATTGGTGTATTTTTTTGTTCTTTTTTTTGAACCAATGACCAACCTCCACGTGTGTGTGGAGTGGTGGGAGTGGGACTTTACTGGGAGTCTCAATCAAAGTTGAATATTAATTTGGTTTTTGCAGTTTCAATTATTATTAAATTTTTTTAAAAAAGTTTTTACGCTATTGATTTAGTCGAATTAATAATATCTATTAAAAATTGAATAGAAATGAAGGGTAAAATGGTTCATTCTAAAAAAAGGGAAGGGGCAGTTCAAAATGGTTGCTAGCTTCTTAATCACTTTGAAAATAGTAAATGAATTATTTTCCCGTTGATTTTAGTTCAATTTTTGAAAGGGAATTATTAATTTGACTAAATTGACAAGATACAAAAAATTTAAGAATGAAATTGATGCAATTAACATTAAAAAGACTAAATTGATACAAAAGATAAATTACAGAACTACGAGTGTAATTTGCTCAAATTCACTATAGTATTAGTATGCATTCAATTGAAAGAAGGGTTAATTTTACTATTAGTCCTTAAAAGTATGCATTTTGTATTATTTTAAGTTATAACATTTTAATTGTGTCAATTTTATCTCTAAAGTATTAAATGTGCCTCAAAATGGTACCCCTACCTAATGCGATGGCTATTTATTGTCAGAATTAGGGGGTATTTTTTAGACAAAAATTATGCCTTCAAGAAAAAAGAAGAATAGTTACACTTTTTTTTTTGTGTAATTTTTTATTTTATAAATTATTCTTGATTCTGATGATGAATATTGACAGTGTCATGCCATGAAGACCATTTTAACAGACATCGAATACTTTGAAAATGAAATTGATATAATTAAAAAAAATTTGACTAAAATTACACAAAAGTCATACATGAAAAACTAGAAGTGTAGCCTAGAAATAATTGCTTATCTTCCATTAATGTGTTAGCTAGCTAGTCAATTAATCCCAATTAATGTTCCATGTCAGGTGACACGTCCCTTAGACATAGCAGTTGTATTGGAATCATCTGAAAGATGGTTCTACACCGATTACAATTTCACAATAGCCCATCTATGGACCACCCATTTGGTTCAAGCCAGCCAAGGCATCGAACCATACAACAAGGTCCCCTCAAATCTCACCCTCGACAAGCCCGATGAGACCTGGTCCGCTGAGATCGAAAACTTCGATTTCGTCATCATCTCTGCCGAACACTGGTTCTTGAGGCCGTTAACCTACTATGAAAATGGCAAGTTCGTCGGTTGTCACATTTGCAGCAAACAGAACAACACATATTTTGACGTGTACTATGCGTACAGGACAGCCTTTCGAACTTCCTTTAATACCCTTCTGACAAAATTTAAGGGGATAACTTTTTTGAGGACAATTACTGGGACTCACGTAAATCATAAGAAGAAGTGGAGTGAGGACGGAGATTGTGAGAGAACAAGGCCGTTTAGTAGGCATGAAGCGAAGCTAGATGAGGTGGTTTTGAAGTTGTATTCGATACAATTGGATGAGTTTAGGGTTGCGGAGAGGAAAGGGAGGAAAAAGGGGTTGAGATTTAGGGTTTTGAATGTAACTGAGCCGATGACGATGAGGCCAGATGGGCATCCGAACCGGTACGGACATTGGCCACATGAGAAGGTCCGGAGGCCGGATTGTCTACATTGGTGCTTGCCTGGTCCTATTGATGTCTGGAATGAAATGTTGCTTCAAATGATAGAGATGGAAAATGAAAGATAATCAATTTATGAAAAGTCTTAGCGATATGTGACTGGCATTAAAATCAGACAAAATTTTGATTGAATTTTGCCTTTCAATTGTTTTTCTTTTCTTTTGATTTTTGATTATGTAATTGTAATTTTTTGGACATCATATTCTTCAAATTAACTAGAAGGTTTCAGACACTTTTTTTTTTTTGGGGGGGGATGGAAAATGAAACATAATCAATCTATGGGAAAGTCTCAGTGATATGTTACTGGCATTAAAATCAGACAAAATTTTGATTGAATTTTAGCCATTCAATTGTTTTTCTTTTCTTTTGATTTTTGACTATGTAATTGTAATTTTTTGGACATCATATTCTTCAAATTAACTAGAAGGTTTCAGACACTTTTTTTTTTTTGGGGGGGGATGGAAAATGAAACATAATCAATCTATGGGAAAGTCTCAGTAATATGTGACTGGCATTAAAATCAGACAAAATTTTGATTGAATTTTGCTTTTCAATTGTTTTTCTTTTCTTTTGATTTTTGACTATGTAATTGTAATTTTTTGGACATCATATTCTTCAAATTAACTAGAAGGTTTCAGAAACTTTTTTTTATTTTTATTTTTATTTTTTTGGGGGTGGGGGTGTGTGGTGTTTGGTGTATTGTCAACTAAAACTGACTGTTCATTTTGGTGATGGTTTCAAAGGCCATGGTCAATGAAAATACTACTTACCTATTTTCTCTCTTTATACTGGCAACATGAAAAATGAACAAAAATTAATTACATTGACAATCCTTTTAATTTGCTTTTTATATTAAAACGATTCATATAATTTCATTTTGTAACAAGTTTGACCTTCAATTATACAATTTGTATTTAACGGATTCAAATTAAAAAGTGGGGAGAAACATTATCGAATTCTCAGTCTAAAAAACTCTGATTCTCTGTCCTAATTTGTTCACAATCACAAGATGAGACCTGGTCTGCTGAGATCGAAAACTTTGATTTCGTCATCATCTCTGTCGAACACTGGTTCTTGAGGCCGTTAACCTACTATGAAAATGGCAAGTTTGTCGATTGTCACATTTGCAACAAACAGAACGACACATATCTTGACGTGTACTATCCATATAGGACAGCCTTTCGAACTTCCTTTAATACCCTTCTATCAAAATTTAAGGGGATAACTTTTCTGAGGACAATTACTGGGACTCACGTAAATCATAAGAAGAAGTGGGGTGAGGACGGAGATTGTGAGAGAATAAGGTCGTTTAGTAAGCGTGAAGCGAAGCTAGATGAGGTGGTTTTGAAGTTGTATTCAATACAATTGGACAAGTTTAGGGTTGCAGAGAGGGAATGGAAGAAAAAGGGGTTGAGATTTAGGGTTTTGAATGTAACTGAGCCGATGACGATGAGGCCAGATGGGCATCCGAACCGGTACGGACATTGGCTACATGAGAACGTCCGGAGGCTGGATTGTCTACATTGGTGCTTGCCTGGTCCTAATGATGTCTGGAATGAAATGCTGCTTCAAATGATAGAGATGGAAAATGAAAGATAATCAATCTATGGGAAAGTCTCAGCAATATGTGACTGGCATTAAAATCAGACAAAATTTTGATTGAATTTTAGCCTTTCAATTCTTTTTCTTTTCCTTTGATTTTTGACTATGTAATTGTAATTTTAATTTTTTGGACATCATATTCTTCAAATTAACTAGAAAGTTTCAGAGACTTTTTTTTATTTTTATTTTTATTTTTTTGGGAGTGGGGGTGTGTGGTGTTTGGTGTATTGTCAACTAAAACTGACTGTTCATTTTGGTGATGGTTTCAAAGGCCATGGTCAATGAAAATACTACTTACCTATTTTCTCTCTTTATACTGGCAACATGAAAAATGAACAAAAATTAATTACATTGACAATCCTTTTAATTTGCTTTTTATATTAAAATGATTCATATAATTTCATTTTGTAACAAGTTTGACCTTCAATTATACAGTTTGTATTTAACGGATTCAAATTAAAAAGTGGCGAGAAACATTATCGAATTCTCAATCTAAAAAACTCTGCTTCTCTGTCCTAATTTATTCACAATCATAAGATAAGACCTGGTCTGCTGAGATCGAAAACTTTGATTTTGTCATCATCTCTGCCGAACACTGGTTCATGAGGCTGTTAACCTACTATGAAAATGGCAAATTTGTCAGTTCTCACATTTGCAACAAACAGAATGACACATATTTTGACGTTTACTATGCGTACAGGACAGCCTTTCGAACTTCCTTTAATACCCTTCTGTCAAAATTTAATTGGATAACTTTTCTGAGGACAATTACTAGGACTCACGTAAATCATAAGAAGAAGTGGGGTGAGGACGGAGATTGTGAGAGAACAAGGCCGTTTAGTAAGCATGAAGCGAAGCTAGATGAGGTGGTTTTGAAGTTGTATTCAATACAATTGGACAAGTTTAGGGTTGCGGAGAGGGAAGGGGGGAAAAGGGGTTGAGATTTAGGGTTTTGAATGTAACTGAGCCGATGACGATGAGGCTAGATGGGCATCCGAACCGGTACGGACATTGGCCACATGAGAAGGGCCGAAGGCCGAATTGTCTACATTGGTGCTTGCCTGGTCCTATTGATGTCTAGAATGAAATGTTGCTTCAAATGATAGAAATGGAAAATGAAAGATAATCAATCTATGAGAAAGTCTCAGCGATATGTGACTGGCATTAAAATCAGACAAAATTTTGATTGAATTTTAGCCTTTCAATTGTTTTTCTTTTCTTTTGATTTTTGACTATGTAATTGCAATTTTTTGGACATCATATTCTTCAAATTAACTAGAAGGTTTCAGAGACTTTTTTTTTTTTTTTGGGGGGGGGGGGGGGGCGGTTGGGTGGTGGAGTTTTCTATGGTGTATTGTCAACTAAAACTGTCTATTTATTTTGGTGATGGTTTCAAAGGCCATGGTCAATGAAAATACTACTTACCTATTTTCTCTTTATACTGGCAACATGAAAAATGAAAAAAAATTAATTACATTGACAATCCTTTTAATTTGCTTTTTATATTAAAACGATTCATATAATTTCATTTTGTAACAAGTTTGACCTTCAATTATGCAATTTGCATTTAACGGATTCAAATTAAAAAGTGGTGAGAAGCATTATCGAATTCTCAATCTAAAAAACTCTGCTTCTCTGCCTTAATTTATTCACAATCATAAGATCATATCGAAATCTTAAAACATAGAAATTTTAAAGTATGATTAAACGACTATTAATGAATTGAAATAAACGACATATGAATTTTATAACAAAAAATCAGTACCTGGTGACCTTTTCTTTTTTTAAAGATAGAAGTAAAATTTCAAAACAAACTAAGGAAGAGGAAGACCAGAAGCCTCCTTCGCAATCAACATATTGAGAGGTGGACAATCCTCAATCCATGTTCGAAATAAGCCAATTCCACTGCTATATTGACAAGAAGATGAGCCACTAAGTTACCATCGCGGTGTACATGGGATATCTAGTGACCTTAAACAATAGGATTATCATTATTTTTAGTCATTAATAATCTCCTCCATTTAAAATTACCGGCACATGATACAAATTATAACATATCCATAAACAACAATTAGGAGGCACTGACAACACACCTCTAAAGCAATTAAAAAAAATATGTATCATTATATATATAAAACAGGAAAAAAGAAAAGAAAAGAAAAGAAAAGAAAAGAAAAAGTGAGTGGGAATCTAACTCATCCTCTCTTTCTTCCCCCTCCTCTCAACACTCTCCTCATAAGACCTCCTACCCTCCCTCTTCAGCATCTCAAGCAACAAATCACTCCAAGTATCAATAGGTCCAGGCAAGCACCAATGCACACAGTCATTATACAATGTCACATTCTCATGTGCCCAATGTCCATAAATACTAGGATGCCCATCTGGCCTCAACAACATTGCTTGTGTTGTATCAAGCAATCTATACCTCAACCCTTTCTCTCTCCCCTTTCTCTCTCCAGCCCTGTACTCCTCCACTTGTGTCATATAAAGCTCCAAATCTTCACCCTCCAATTGCTTCTCATTGCTCAAAAAAGGCCTTTTCCTCACACAATTCCCACCTTGGTTCCACAAACCTCCTTCAAAATGTGATGGTGCAAAAGTCCTTAAATATGTTATTCCCTTAAAGTCCTTTAAATTATTGATTGCCTTAAAAGCTGTTCTAAAAGCCCTTCTAAAACCATAGTACATTGGGAGGTCTGTGATGTTGTCCAGCTGGCAGAAGCGGCAGCCGACGAGGTGGCGGTTTTCGTAGTAGAGGGCGGGGCGGTAGAACCAATGGCCGGCGGAGATAATGACGTAGTCAAATTCGGAGATTTGAGTGGTCCACGTGTTGTCGGGCTCATCGAGGTAGAGGTTGAAGAGGCCCGTTTGGGTTGGGCCGTTTGGGTCGGCCTCTTGGGTTTTGATTAAAAAGGGTGTCCAGAATGTGGCCATGGTGAAGTTGTAGGATGTGTATTTCCAGCGTTTGAAGTGTTCATCTGGTGTGTAGGACACATCTATAGGGTACTCTGCCTGGGAAACAAAAAAAAAAGGAAGAAAAATTGTGATTTTTTAAAATTAATTGATCAAATAACAATAAGAATCGAGTTGATTAATTTGAGCTAAGAATTAATACACTTAATCAAGATGAGTAAGACACTAAACTAAGACAAAAATAAACCAAGAATCTAATAATTAAACACAGAAAAATACAGAAGATTTATGTACAGAATATGGTCATGCTCAAGGTTGTTGTGGTTTCACTATAATCTGAAAGAGTTATAATATAGTAGTTCAGAGATGTAAAAATTAGTCAAAATTATGAAATACCAAAAATATTTCACATAAGGAATGGTCTCTCTAGTTGATGATTTTAGAGGAGTATTATTGATGTATAATAGCCCGTAATCTATTTTGATTATCTTAGTCATTCATCATGTATGATTTATTGATATATTATTTATACTCCTATAAAAAATAAGATTAATCAACCATAAGAAGTCACTTGATTTGTTTTGCAAGAATGAACAGTTAGTACAATTTTTATGATAAAAATCTATTTTTCTATAATACAAATATAATTCGATAGTGTAGCTATTACTCTTTGATCAATTTGATATGAATAATCTGCTGAAAAAGTCTGTTTGAATAATTCAAATTACTTGGAGCAATCAAGCAAGAAAAGGTCAACCTTCCACTAACCAAGAAGAGGGAGACATATGTGTGGGACCCTTTTGTTTTGTGTGATGGATAAAGTGAATATTTCTGAACCATTAAAAACTTTTTCATTGATTAATGGATGGTCTTCAAAACTTGATCTTGATTTTATGAGTAACAACTATTATTAGTGGACCTGCTCATGACAGCGTTTTTGTTTTTTTCAGTCATAGTGTCTCAATCATATTAAAGAATATATATAATATGTGGTTATACCAACCCAATATAATAATTATATCCATAGAGTGGGTAGGGGGTTTATTTTAGCCACCAAATCTCTGAATATGGCAAAGGCCTCTTAACAACAAATCTTAAAAATATGAAAATAGATCAGCACACCACGTTGCATGCCAGGCTTTGATTCTCTAAAATGTGTCATCAAGTCCTCATATTATCATCTATTTATAATAGTATATCATATATAGATCCATTAATCATACTTAGAAGTGGGTTAAAAGTCCATTTCTAACTTTTAACTCACTTCTCTCTCACAAAAAAATTTAAAAACTTCAAAAAATAACTTTTAATTATCTTTCCAAAAAATGGTAGGAATGTTCAAAAACAATCTGACATATTCTAAGCTGGCATTAGATCTATTGTTCATGAGTTTTGGAATAATCTAAGCTGGCAATAGACTTTTTTTTTGTTTTTTTTAATTATCTAATCTTTCATGTTAAAGTCACAAGTGGCCTATGTGCCATGAAAATTTATGTCTTTTTGTTTGTTGTTTCATGTCTCCTTTCAGGGCAATATTCTCTTAAACAGGAGGGAGTTATTTGAGGAACAAAATAGAAATATTCATCTTGCACAATACCAGAAAAAGGTATGTTTTTCCTTAAAAAAGTCAAAAGTTAAAATCAAATTTTATTTATTTTTAACTTTCTAAAGGCATTAATAAAAAAAGTTACTAAAAAATCAATCCAAACAGCTACTTTCTAGATGGATATAATGAAGATTTCCATTATTTTATTATATCATTAATTATATGTTTTTATTCTAAATTCAGAACAATTAAGGAAGAATTTAAAATTCAAAATGACATCAAAATTATAAACTATTGATTTTGAATTATATTACTTATTTTAACCGTATACCTTGGAATGAAAATTTCCATGTAATAGAGATGATTTAAATCATCTTGCTTAAACCTTTATTTAAGTTGCGTTTTGGTGATTTATATTGTGAATTTTCAATTAATAAAACAAGAAGAACCTATATGTACAATTTTACTCATAATTAAGTGATTCCTTTCTTTTTTGGTTGGACCATCTTGAGAATGATAAGGACAGTCCTTCCTAAAAAAATAAATAAATAAGGACAGTCCCGATTTTAAGTTTAACTTTATGATACATTTTTTTTTTTTTAATTTATAAGATTGTCATGACTTTAATAATAATAATAATAATAATTAAAGAACCAATATGCAAAATTTTAACCACACATCACGTGCATGAGCCGGGCCATCATCCTCGTATAAAAAATTAGTCAATTACCATTTCAAGATTGGAACAAATAATTAAGTAATTAATAAAGTAATATTAATTTATTTTACCCAACATTCAAGTGAGATCTAGGGGCGAGCATGGTCCGGATTGGACCGGATTGAGGTAAAATCAGAACTAATTCGTTATCTATGGTTCTTGAAAAATTGAAACCAATCCAATCCGTTTAAATCATGAAACCAATCCGAACCAATCCATTTAAATACGGATTGGATCGGTTTAGGACCACGGATTCACATAATTAAATAACAAATATATATATATATATATATAACACTTTAATTTCATAAAAATATAAACGTAGCGCTATATCATTTCCACAATAACAACATGTTTTTCTATAATAGTGACATAGTGCTCTAGAATTTAAACAACCATAAGAAAACTAGTTTCATCATAAGTATTTAGACCATTACAAATCAAAATTAAAAATTAACAAACAAAAGTAATAAAAGAAGATATTATACGGTTTTAGGTTTGAGTTTAGATTTTATATAGAATAAGAGAAGATACTATGGAAGATGATGTATAATAAAAATATAGACTATTTGTATACGGTCCGGATTGGTTCCAATCCGGAACCGTGGGGTTCAATCCGGAACCAATATGTGGACTACGGATTTTTAATTCTTCAATCCGGAACCGAACCGCGGATTCAAAAAATCAATCCAAACCTATCGAATTGGACTGGACTGCATCAGATTACAGATTTCACGGATTCCTTACTCAGTCCTAGTGAGATCTAGTTACTTTCCCCCTAGTGATGGCCGGACTCGAATCTTTTATTTTTTTGCATGTGGATTTTTATCAAGTTTGAATATGAATTTTGATTGTGTTGTTTTGGTTCCTGCGTTTATCATTGGTCTCCTTTCAATAATTTGAAATTTTATTTTGTAGAATCTTCTGCATATACTTTTTATAAAAAAAAAATTAGTTGATTTAATAATTATAATTTTTATTTTATTTTATTGTATTTGTTCCTAAAAAAATGGACGCATATTTTTTGAAATAAAGCATCAATTTTTTTAGAGACAAACACAATGAAATAAAAATATTACAATTATTGTATAGGCGTAATTTTTTTCATACATAATATACATAGAGGGTCATACAAAATAAACGGTTTGAATCATTAAAATCCAACCCCATTTTTTAGATTATCTAAAAAAAATATTCCACACACTAATTAATTTTAAAAAAAAAAAAAAAACCTGAAATTTTTACCTCACCCAACATGTATTAGTTGAGATATGACACCATAGTGTTTACCTAAACCTTGAACCGCATGTGGGTTTCGGTGAACGAACCTTTTCAAAAGTATTTCACATTAATTACACTTTTGGTCTTAATAAATATGATTTTTTTTATTAGTTTGGTCTTAACATTTTAATTGTGTCAATTTCATTATTGAATTATCAACTATGTTGAAATAGTCTCCATGACAAATGTCGGTAATATTTCAGAGATACGTTTCAAACAGAAAATTACATCTCGTAAATAAATTATAAAAAAAGGTCCTCTACAATGCAGCATCAAATGGCCCAGAAATATCTTTGAAACTTCTTCAGTGGTACAATTAAAGGCTTGCTATGGCCAAAAAAAATAAAATAACAACGCATATGAAACTCAATTTTGAGTAATTCAATGGATGGCCATATTATAGCTAAAATTTGAAAACCTTCTTTGTTTCCACATTTCTTATAAAGGGACTCACATTCAATATTTTTATATGTCATTTTTTTTTTGAATAATTAAAGAATTAACATATACACTTTTAAAGTAATATTGCTAAAATATATCATTTTCACACTATTTATTAGTCAAATATAACAATAACTAGCCATTTTAACTATCAATTCTCTAAAAACAAAAATTGAAATTTTCTTTTTTAAAAGGTACTGAATTTTATTATTTATTATTTTTTGTGTTCAAAAAGTATCTTTGATAATAGTGAAAACATCCGTCATGTGGGAATCATTTTCACACACACATGTACCACTTTTCTTTTCTTTTTTTTCTTTTTTTCTTTTTTTTTTTTGGGATCGAACACACACATGTACTACTTTGGAGATGGATTCAAAACAAGTGTTAGGGACCAAGAGACCCTTCTAAACAAGTGTTGAATGGTGATAGATATAAGGATAATTCTACAGTAATTTCGAAGTATGGACACGTGGTATATTATAGTATTGTGATTGATGGAGAAAGTAGATAGGTGAGGTATTGTGTTGGGTGATTGAAAAACATGAAATGATATATTGAATGATGATTGGTTAAGGAGTATAGACACGTGATACTCCGAAAACATTGAATAATTTCCCTAGATATAAACACAAAAATGTCATCTATTATAAATTTTTTATTTTGAAAATTAATTCAAAAATAAATATATGATATAGATTTAAAATTTGAAGGACATATAAATTATGCCGAGAATAATTATAATTCATATAAAGTGTATGATATAGATTTAAAATTTGTGGGACATAATGTAATACCTAGAATAATTATAATTCATTAATATACTTTTTTGATTAATTTTTGGAAAGATTATAATTTAGTATACTTTTAAGAAAATAATTACATATTCATTGAAAATTTTGTAAAATTAATTATTAATATTAATAAATTTTACTATTGATCTGTAATTATTTTTTAAAAATACACTATTTTATAATTTTTTCTACGTATGTAATATTGTCGATATAAACAAGGAGGATGGTGATGATGCTTACCCTGGACAAGAGACATATCAGTGACTGCATTTGATTCCTGCCCACAGAATCACCAACAAAGGCCAAAGACTTGCCTCTAACAATGTCCAAGAACTGAAATGGGTTGAAAACAGGAAGATCACACCCATCTGGTTTCCACTTCCATTTCATGAACCCATTGTCTGGTCTCCCATACTTCATGCAATTTTGGTGCTCATGGATTGCCCAACATGTTGTGTTTGTGTAGTATGGTGCATCTGGATTTGGAACCCATTCACCACTGAAGATGTCACACTTTTCATTTGTGACTGTTTTTATTGAATCTGAATCATCAACAGTAGGGTCATATGGAGAAGTTGGTTGTGAAATGTTCTTTAGAGTGTACCCTAGTAAAGGGTAGTAGAGAGGGATGATTGTGAAGAGGACTACTGTTATGGCTACTAGGATAAGTATCTTTGGGGTCTTTTGAAGCGTTTGGTTTTTCACAAAGGGAAGCTCCATTGTTTGGAGCTTCATTGGAGAGATCTACACGGAAGAGAGAGAGAGAGACAGAAAGAAAGGGAGAGAGAGACTAGGGAGGCATCAACAAGGAAACATAGCATACTCATATATGGAAGTGTGCCATGTTCCAAATAAAACAAGGTGGTTTTACATGTTGAGGCTTTAATTAAGAGAAATACTTCACATCTAGAAAAATTATTCAGTATCATAAATTAGTAAGAATAATGTTATATGCATTGAAAATTTGTGTATATGATATAGAAAAGCCCTCACATAAGAGTGGGTCTCACATATGTGTCCGCTCTACTCTCACATATGTGTCCGCTCTACTCGCATGTGAAAGTTTTTGTACATTCTATGCACAAATTTTCTATATAAATAGTATTTCTTAATTAATGACCATATTTGTTATTAATGTGACTCATATTTTCTTAATTTTAAATGGGTAAATTATAAATACATCTCCTGACATTTGATTAAAATATAAATCGCCCCCTGTGGTTCTGAAAATTACATTTCATACCATGGGATTTCTAATTTTATAACAAATCGTCTATTTTATTAATAAATTATCGAGTCAATTAACAATTTTTAATGATGTTAGAAATATGTTTCAATTTATAATTTAGATAATTTTATTATTGTATAGGAGAGAAATTATGAATTTCATTTTTTCAGTTAATTTTGCTAAATAAAAAATTATGACAAGGAGATATTCGTAATTTTTCAAATCATATGAGGCAATTTATACTTTAAGAAAATTTCAAGGAGTGTATTTGTAATTTATCCATTTTAAATTTATAGTATATACCTCATTTTAAAAATAAGTTTTAAGATAAAAATTCATAATACATAATACTTTTGTTTAACTAACGAAGTTATCCGTATCTCTGTAACAATTTAAAATATTAGATAAGTCATTGGTGAACAATTTATAATGATATGGAAACAAACAATTATTTTTATGTTCGAATCTCTCGCAGTGTGTGAGGGAAGAAAATAGATGTTGTGTATAACGGACTTAATAATTATAATATCGGTATGTGTTTACTTCGTTTATGGAAGAGAGTTTGGCCATGTTAAAATCTTTAATAATAATGTTACTTTTCTTTTTAACAATTTACGATTTTAAATAAATGTGTGATTGACGATTTATCGTTTGGTTTGATTGCATATTATGACGACTTAAAAAAATAAAATAAAAATATATATCTTTTTTGGGTTAGTTAAAAAAAAAAAATCAAGGTTTCATATGTTTTTCACTTTAAACTCCTTTGTTTCAATTTCGATAAATTAAACTCTAGAGTTTTATCCGTATTTTAACGTACCCACTCCGTCCATCTCCGTCTGTGTAAGGTAACGAAGAATGAAGCATTAGGGTTAAAGTGAAAGACACGTGAAACATTGTGAGTTTTTTTGTAATTAATCCTTTTTTGTTTTTATTGATTTTAATTTTTTTTTAAATGGTTAATTACAACAACAAAAAAAAAAAAACTCTAAGGTTTCATGCATTTTTCACTTTAAGCCCCAGAGTTTCATTCTCTGTTACCTTACACAGACAGAGATGGACAGATGAGGCACATTGAAACACAGATAAAACTCTAAGGTTCAATTTATCGAAATTGAAATATTAGGATTTAAAGTAAAAAATATGTGACACTTTGAGATTTTTTTGTAATTAACCAAACTTTTTTTATGCAACACATCTCAAAGCAAAATTCCCAATTTAACCCAAACAAAACATGTTCACTAATTTATTCCAAGGATCCCTTCTATTTTCAGGTTTATGATTGATTTGCTTCTTCTTCTTCTTTTTATTTATTTATTTATTTATTTTTAGGTAGTTAGATTTGTTAGTAAAGTTAATATACCACCTAAAGGGTCGCGGCTACTTCATCAGCTCAAATCCCTGACCACCTTTTCTCACTACATCCTAAGGTGCAGTTAGACGCCAACTTACTACAAAGGTTTTGGCTTATGATTGGTTTGCTTCACAAATCAATAAAATGTAACTATCCTTTTTATGAAATTATATATATATATATATATATTATTGTTGATAAGATGATAAAGGAGGTATAGTTCTCAAGATAGACAAATTATAACCAACCAAATTACACTTTATGATTAATGATCAGAGGGCAAGTATAATTTTTAATTCTTATGGAGTTCTCTAAATTTATTGCTAGGCTAATTATATTTATTTATAGTTCATGATATTTTTATATTGTGTTAATTTTACTAACAAATTAATATCTTATAATCTTGACCAAAAAAAGAAAAAGAAAAAATCAATTTAGTTGATAACATAAAAGTTAGACTTAAATTAGAGGACACAACAGTTATTGACTCTACTCAAAGTGATTTGGGGGTTGAGATCCAATTTGAAATGATCCACACACCTTTTTGGATGGATCAATTTGTCCTTGATTTTTGTCTAATTTATTACTAAATGTTATTAATTAAACTAAATTAACACAATATTAAAGGAAAAAAAAAGTTGATAGAAATAAAATTACGAAAGCCAAATTGACATAAAAAAATAAATTACAAAGACCAGAGTATAATTTACCCTTTATTATTTTATTACACATGAAGATGACCCTTTCTTTAACCAAAATTGCAAGGAGAAGGAAAATAAATGAGGTGGGCAAGGGGGTTAACTAAAATTTATCAAAATTACTGTCTTAAACCTAGGTAAGATGTAATTACAAAATAAAGTAAACTACCAATAGGTCCTAATAGTTGAACTTAATTCCTATCAAATCGTATTAAAAATAAGTCCTAGTACAATGGTCACTAAAAATAATTTTTTGTGATGATTTTTTACATATGTTACTAAAAATTGATAATTAGTGACTTATTTTGTCACTATTTTTATAAATTGTCTTTAAAATTTATAGTTAATAATTTTTTTTTGTGACGAATTTTTCAAACTATGCTGAAAGTTAAAAATTAGTGACTTTTTTGTGACAATTTTTTAAACTGTCATTAAAACTTATAAGTAGTGACATTTTTTGTGACAAAATTTTCAAACTGTCGTTAAAAATTAACAATTAGTGATATTTTTTAATAGTGTATGATGAAAATTGTGATTAATTATTATAAGACATATTGAATAATGATTCTATTTATTAGAACCTACACATAAGTCTTTCTAAAAAATATTGAGTTGTACACGCATGCAATTCATGGTTGTACGTTTGTTTTGCATTGTGTCGCTTGATTAGATCATCGTCAGTTTGGTGTAATATCTTAGTCTAGCTTTAAATTCTATATGTAAAACGTCAAATGCAATGCTTAGATGACAGATAAGCTTGGGCTTCTCTTTCAACATGCAAACCAGAATTTCATTCCGTCATTATCATCCATAAATATTTGAGAAAATTCAACACTCCCTCAATTTATAATTTTTACCCAATAATTTGGGCAAAATTTTGTTGTATGCACTAGAATGGAAATTAGTTCTCAACCGATCGACAGTGTCACCTGCATCCTCAACATAATACATATTACAAATGTGGGCACATACGATGTATGTGACTATGGTAGTTATTTGAAGCAATTTAGATTGAAGAGAATTGAAGCAGTTTAGCTCTCATAATAGTTATCTTGTGTTGGAGTATTTTGCCAAAATAAAAAAACGTAACAAAGTTATGCCAATTTAAGTGCAGGTTTATATGATAGTACGAGAAGCGGTGATACACACGATGTGTGTGCATAAGATGGTTTTATTCTAATGAAATAAGGTTGTGAAGAGTACGATTGAATTCGAATCTGAAAATTGAAATAGTTTTTGAGTCATGTAGTTAATGCAAAATTTTAATCTTCAGCTTTACCACCAAAATTTGTGAAACAGATCAGGTATTTGTGAGGGCGAAATTGGTAACAAAAATAGTGTGATAGAGTTCTCACCAACTTTAGTTCTCTCACGCTATAATATAATAAAATATATAATATATTAGAAGTGGTGACACACGTAATGTATATGTACATAAAGATAGAATTATGAAAAGTTGAATTGAATTCAAAATTTGCAGATTTTGAATTTAAAATCTAAAGTAATTTGTTAAAAAAAAAAAAAAAAAAAAAATTGATGATAGTGAATTTTTTTCTTCTTTCCCTGAAGTTGGATTTCATTGATAGACAAAAACAAATACATCAAGAGTGATTATCCCTCACTCTAGAAGGAATTATAGTCCAAGTCTAGTGTTTCAAACCTGAACACTCGAACATCCAATAACCGTAACCCGCAACATACTACGACCATCAACAAACAACCATAATCACAATATACTGCGGCTACCAACCAACCCATACTTGCAACATACTATGGCCACCAACAATATAGACAAACTGCAACCTCCCCGGAAAAGGAAGAAAAGCCTTCACAAATGAGGAAAAAAATAATAGAACAAAATACAAAAACACTAAAAAAATATCAAAAGACTAGATTCACACAACTCGTAGCGTAAGACTGATACGCAACTCTAGCATTGGCGTCAGATCTGTAGCCCACGAAGACGGTGGAAGCCTGGATGGTAGAAAACGTCATATCGAAGTGTAAAAGACCAGATTTAAGAGAAAAAACAAATCACCCACTTAGACTTAAAAGAAAGGAAAGGAAGAGGAGGATCGGATGTCACTATCCCTGTGACAACCCTCACCACTGATTAGTGCTAATCTATGATTAAGCATGTTAAGTGACTGATTGACTGAAATTCTGACTGATTGATTGAGTGTATTAGTTTGAATGCAAAACTATCTGTTTGACTGCTAAATGATCTGTTCATGTCTTATATTTTAAACTGCAAATTGAAGGCCTTATCGGCAGTCAAATCCGAAACTGATTAGTGTTTTATGCTAATTAGAATTTCTGTGATTTTATGGTATGTTTAATTGAAATGTGATTTGGAGCGATTAAATTAGATTAAATAATGTTAAATTACATTAGTTGCATTATTTACCTTTTTGCCACTTAGTGGCTTGACACTAGACCATTCCTTTTCTACCCCATTCATGTTGGTTACATCTTTTGTTCATCTCTGAGAGACCAAACCGACTAAAGAGAGAGAGAGTTAGAAGAGCTTTGGTTTCATCAAGAATTGCTTGGAAAAGTAGAAGAATTGAAGAGTAGATTGCATAATTGAGCTTCTAGACTTGAAATTGAAGACCTAAGGTAGGAGAATCATCTTCTTGAACTTGTATTTAAGTTGTATCTTGCATGTT